ATTAGAATCTTCATTTATATCAAAGTTATAAATATTCTCTTGTAATGTAGAATTAAATAAATCTGTTAAAGAAATATTTTCATGATTAGAAAACAAATTCTTTGAAGTTTTAGGTGCTCTTAAACGAAATTGTGAAGTATCAAATTTTGAAAGCCGATGTCGAGACATAATATGTTATTATAAAAATATATTATTTACAGTACTATTTATACTAAATGATACAATCAGTGATTATATCATAATAAGCTTTAAAGAATAAATATAATTTTATTTGATTTGATTAATAAATACACTATATAAAAAAATGAAAAAGAAAGGTGCAAAGAAAAAAGAAATTGTTGGCAAGTATTTATAAATATAATATTTATAATAATACTATAATAATAATCATAAGCAATTACTTTAGAATCTTCTGAAGAAGAAAATTCTAACCCAAGAACAACATCTAATAAATGTTTAAAAAAAGCTAATAAAAACAGTAATATTCTTTATTGTAAATCTTCTATTTAATTATTATTTAATTTTTTTTTTTTAAAGAATTTAATGAAACTACCCGCACTCCATTTGGACAAATTAATTTGAACAATACTATGCCAGCTAATAGTACAGCTTTGCCATATCGACACAACCAAAACTTGGCTAATAATTATATATCAACAAGACATATAAATTATCCAAGATCGTCAAACCATATTGATCCAGTACTTCATAACTTGGATAATATTACACCATTAAATGAAAGTGTGAATAAATTACAAGCTTCATCTCTATTTCATAATGCAAATGTTGAATATCAATCTACAGTTACTAGAAATTTTATTGCACCAGAAGAACAGCATCGCAATTTGTCACGATCAACTACTATGTCTTTAGATGATATATCAGATTCACAATCTTTAACTAGTTATGATTTCACAAATAATTCGAGTCAAAAGCTTTCTCATTTCAACAAAATCCATATAATGAAAGGATCTCAAGACCTGACACACAGTTTCAACATGCGTCATATTCACCAGAAACTTCTCGCACCATTACTAATTGGAATTCTAATATGAATTTACAAAATTGCTATAATCAACCTAAAGAAAAAATTTCAAGCCTAAATACACAATTACAACACACATCATCATCAGCAAATTCTTACAAGATTTCTACTCATGAAACTGATATTAATTTACACAAACTAAGTTTTTCTGATAAGAAATCATTAATCGATTGGTTATGTACACAACCAGATTTAATCGCTCAAGTACGAAGATTATTAACTACTTCAACATATAACGATAAGGTTTGATTAATAATTTAATTAAAGAAATTCTATTTTGATCTGAGTTAAAGTCACCTGAAATATTACTACCACTATTAATTTAGTTACGTGAAGGACACTATAGTTTATTGATGACTTTAGCCTGTCTAAAAATAAATATTGTAATCTAATTACTATAGTATACAATCTAACTAAAATATTTATCATATAGAATGAAATTAGCATTTTAGAGCCAACAGACAAAGAAACCATAACAAATTTAGTTATGGAACAATGCAAGCTTCTGTTTTTATGTACATGAAACCCTACTAAAGCAATACGTGAAACACTGATCAAGAAGATTACGCCATCAACAGATTCAGTATCCAAAGAATTTAAGGTATTGTTTAAAAAGACACATGAATACTTTGATAATTTTCGACATACCTTTAATAAAGACATAGCGGCTCTTGCCAAAGATTTCTTAGTTAAAGATTGGTAAATATATTAATATTGTTATTGCCAATTTTTACATATAATTAAAAATTATTTTTGTTATAGTGAACCATCAGATGAAAATATTAAACAGTTCATTGCCAGAAAAGTCTGGCGTCAAAAACTTAGCAAATACCTTGATGCTAGTGACTTTTCTGAGTTCAAAAAATCATCTTCTTCACTCAAATCTCTTGAAAGCTTTGTTGCTGAAAGTTTGAAGATTCATGTTGAATATCAAATTGCAGTTCGTAATAAAGGAAAACCTTCCTATAGTGAAGATGTCTTAGCCAAAATTAAGAAACTTAATCAACTCACTATTCAAGTTACTATAGCATCAGCAAGCTGACGCAATTACATAAATGAATTAGATCTTAGTCAAACTAATGAAGAGTTATCTTCAGATAATGAATAATATTTTATTATATTTATAAATTACTTGAACACTAAGCTCGCTTGCATAAGTAGTAATAAATTTAAAGATTATTGATATTTAGCTTTTACTCATTTCTATAAAACTCACTTTTATGACAAGGCAGTAAATTTGCGCGTAAATATATACAGAGCATTGCATATTGATACTGTACATGCATTTTAATCTTTTTTTTTTACATATTGCTTCTACATAGTTCTATATACATTTATTGAATTTCTTACAGAGTATCAATATTTCAATTTATTTATTTAATGAGTACTAAGATTATTATATACTGTATGTACTTCAAAAATAATATTTTACTGCATAAACATCTCATCCACCAAAGAAAGTACTGTATTCGTGAACAGTACCTGTACTATGTATTCAATGCTGAAAATGAAGTTCTTGAGTAATACTCTGGGTACTATATGTAAACGGTACAAAGTAAACAGAAATATACTCATAAAATATTCTTATATGTACGCTCTTGTTTATAATTTTGTGAGGCTATTTCACATTCACAGTCAATATCCTTTTTAAACTTGTTGACTGATATACGCAGTTTACAAAAATACCTAATGGTAACCAACATTTTAGACAACTATAATAACATTTTATTCATGCAGTTAATGTATTTTATTTCATGCGAATAGCATTAATTTTTTCTAAGTTAATTGTAATTATTATAATAGCGCTATAAAATGCCTTTTTTTTATCGGCGCCATCCACAGAAATTTTTTGCAAAACACAAAAAATATTAAAAGCCTAATGTGGTTATTAATAATTATATAGTAGAGTTCTATATTTGCAGTTTGATATTAAAAACTTTTTTATTTTGCTTATATTATCCTATGATACTGCT